TTTTTTGCCTTTTTTTAGTAGTGAGAACCCACAAAATTCAAACTCTCATGACGCGAGTCGATTCTTCTTCGGGCATACTTTTTCATGTATTTTCCAAGAAAACTTTACCATAATTTGATTTTTATGGAATTTCCATAATTTGATTCCCATAGAAAATTTTCCATAATTTAAATCTTATGAAAACTTACCATAATTTGGTTTCTATGAGATTCCCATAATTTGATTCTCATGGAAAATTTCCATAATTTAATTCTTATGAAAACTTACCATAATTTGGTTTCTATAGGATTCCTATAATTTGTTTCCCATGGAAAATTTTCATAATTTAATTCCTATGAAAACTTACCATAATTTTCATACTTTGTAGGAAATAAATTTTTATATCATTATAATTTTTTTATACTTTGTAGGAATCAAATTGGTGTCTCCTTGTTTTGAAAGCATTATATATACTCATATTTGCATTGTTGTATCATCAAGTTCAATTGAGTCCTCTCAAATTCTTTTCTACCTCTGATTCTCGTCACCCCTTTTCAGCTCAGCTCGACTTCGGTAGAAAATTCATATCTAATTGTAGGAATACTCAAATTGTGAACCGTTCGACTTTTATGAAAGTAAGCTCGCAGTTCTACATCATATCCGAAAATCACTGTCAGAAGATTCTTGAATATACTCAGGTGATTTTTGTGAACTTAGCCTAAAATTCTGACAAACTGAACGCATCAGCTTTGGGCGACTTCACGGAAAAATTCATACCTCATCGTAGGAATAACGAAATCACAAGCCGTTTAAAGTGTAGGAAAGAAAATTCATAGTGATACATCATATACGAAAACCACGATTAGATCACCTTTTTGCTGATTCAATTTTCTATTTGAAATCAGCCTTTCGCCAGTTGCAAAAATTTGAGGTTACCCCCTTTACTTTGGACTTGTTCTTAATCTAAATTTTTCCTTTTTGTTTAATGTTTTCGCAGATACTTGATAGAGAAATACGACTTCGATCCCGCAACATGATGCACTCCGCAACCAATATTCGCCGCATCCTCTTCTTGAAATAGTGGGCGACGACTAATCAAATTCAGATGCCAAAGTTATACTTCTGGAAGTTCAGCTTCTTGCTATCGGTGTCTTCTCTCTTGTTAGCGGAGCATATGAAGAATATTTTCTCCTTAAAGAATGATCAAAAATCGATACCAACTACGTTATGAGAAACTTCTCAAGTAAGTCTACTACCATGAAAGTTCCTTTACTGAAATCCGCAATTCATCATGACGCATCATCTTCCAAATCTTCTCATTTTGATGGAAATTTCAACAATTGGCGTGTTCCCTCTTCTAACTTCGGTAATGTTTGCTACACACCTGGCTACTGGAATGGGTAGAGGATGTGCTGCCCCGCCACAAGGAGATTTTGGAGCTCATCAAAGTCTATGACGTTGTATATTCTTCTTTGTTCATGTACGACTATGACGACAATTTTCTCCATGTTTTTTGGGAACTTCGGCGTCCGTCTACGAATACACTTTCTACTTTCATTGGAGAGATGTCCATATTACTTCGGGATTTACAAGCCATTGCAGGTCTCCCTGTATAAGGGCATTTTTCTGATGAAGTCATTCCCTTGGTGAAATAATTGATACAGACAGATACTCAAAACAAATTGCTTCTTTCCCAAAGTTGTCGCTATTTGTTTTTGGCCTTCTACAGATTAGCGTAAGTTGATCTCCAAGAGGTGTTCGTCCATGGTTGAGTGAAGTTTTGGTTTAGAGGACCTCATAGACATGTCGAGCCTCCGCAAAAGGTGTCAAAGGTATGATCCACAAATCCAAGATTGAACCACAATCCTTCTTGACACATTGATTCAAACTTCCTGCCTCGGACTGAAGAGGAGAATGCCCCTTTTATCGAGTTAGATGAGGAAGAATCGCTTAGAGATGAGACAAACTTGGCAGAGTTCTTTGCTTGTTTGCTTTGCAAATTTGTGCTTCCGAATAAGAAAGTCAACCATGTGCGCTCTTATGTTTTAAAAGTTGCGAGCTTGTATTTTAGAAGTTGTGAGCTTAAAGGCTCATGGAAAGAAATTCTCCTTAGCACTCTCTGTTCTTGTAAGCATATATCGCGGCCTGCAAGAAATCTCTACTTCTTCAAACTTGAGTGTGGCAAAAATAATTTTCCACATACATTATGTATATGGTTGGCTTGGGAATATTTTGGGACTCATCATCGTGCTAATCGTTCACATCGATCGATACCTCTTTGCAAAATTTTGGGCGAGAAGATCGCCAAGTGTTTTGATTTTACTGACGCCCAAAAGTCATTTAAACACGATGATGCCCATCACCTCCATCATTTAGCAATGCTGCAAGGGAGGGATTTGCACCTTACCGATAATGGCAGGCTTTCAAATTCGTGGAACGAATATATCATAAGCCTTCGTTCAGGTTATGTAACCCTTATGCATGATTCAAATTTCATTGTGGAATCCTACAGCCCTGTCAGATTTAGTCGACAATTTGGTTTTTGTCAAGATGTTCCTGGAGATCTTCTGGACCGTCCTTACGATGGTACACTATT